CAATAGGCAACAACTGACATATCATAGACCCATGCACGGACATATATAGTTTTGCACACATAGTTGGTAGAGAAGTTTGATAAACATTGGTCGAAGACTTCGGGAGGGATCGACTATACCCGTAGCGGAATTTAATTGCAAATAAGTTGCAGAAGCTGAAATGGTTGGATACAACAATGCTAACAAGTACAACTTTGAATTCAGACGACAGCGCGACATCCTTCACTGTCCAGTCGATCACTATGAACTCCCTTGACAAGATGCCAGTGACGATCAGAGAAAAGGAGCGCTTCCAACAAGGGAACAGCACGATGTGGTAAAACGTCGAATCAGACAAATAGTTAAGGAGGACTTCCTGAGAGGGACCAAATAGAGCGGAGTAAAAAAACCATCACTGATGTTGATCCCACTTGGAATATTGCGTCTCATAATGTCTAAAAGAGATATACAAATTTCATTGTGTAGTTCTTAGGATTATATCTAGCTGAACAAAAATAAGGTAATCATTGATATCATACTCGCCCGAATTAAAGAAAATGATTAGAAACACCGCGCTAAGCATTGATCAATGTTCAAAGTTATGCCGACCGCCGTAATAAGAGTAGTAAAAACAACAAACAAAATTACAAAAGATATCTCAGGAAAATGGCCTCAGTTACTGTATTGTAAATGTAGCAAAAATTACACTGATTATCTCCAGCTCTGTGCATTCTCTCTCAGTGAAATCGCTGACCGTACCGACATTATGAGGTGTAAAGGAAGATGCAAATAGTGGTATCATGATACCTCAAGAAATGGGCTTCATCTTGACGTGGGACGTGGTTATCCAATACAGCGACTATCATTTCAGAAGAAAGACAGAGCTGGAAAGGCAAACAATCATGGAGGAGACGTCATCATCAACCAAATCCGGTGTACATCGGTAGCCTTGATGTGCACCAACTCAACATCGGTTAGATGTAATTTAATTGCAGGAAAACCAAAATATTTGAGCGGATCTTTCCGTAGTCAGTGGTGCTGTCTATGTAGCTCCTGATACACCACCGTCTGAGTTGAAAATTTTTGCCGATCTTTTCCCCAGCGTTATTGCCTAAACTTGGCAGCTCGCTCTGTATTGTTGTTTGTGATTTCAACAAGCGTGACACGACATTCATCAAATCAGTTGATCTAACAAGTATGATGAACTTCGAAACCAGACTGAGAGCACAGTTCGATTTTGTCTTTACAAATAAATCTCTGTCGTTTGATATACTAACGAGGATTTCTATTGGAAACTCAGATCAATGCATTCTTAAGGTGCGCCCAGTGACATGTTGCAAAACCAAATTTGTGTTTTTGCAAAATACACATTCAAAAGCGTCTGATACTGATACTGCTAAGGATTAGAAGCAGCGAGTAGAAAATACTCTGTGTAGCTCCATCAATTGTCGCTCTTGTGCATTGACGTATTAAATATCGTTCCGCTCTCCATATTTTGCCTCTGCAAAGTGCTTGTCTAGGAGCTTCTTAAATTCGGTCACTGAACGCCTCTATTACCGGCTGCGGCAGGTTGTTCCAGGTATTCACCACTCTACGTTCGTAACAGAGTTGGTGAGCTACCCGCTTCAACTGCGGTACGATAAGTTTGTACCGGTGTCCTCACGTGCTGCTTGGTGTGCGCAGATGGAGCAGTTGTCTCAACATGTTGAGAGGCTGTCGAGATCTTCCTGAAGTAAATCACAATCATTGAGTGTGCGGATTACTCTCCACACCTTCAAGTCATCTGCGAACAGTGCACATCGTGATTGGAGTAGCTTAGGCATATCGTTTACATGGATCAGAAACAATATCGGACCCAGTAAAGTGCCTTGGGGCATGCCGCTGCTCGATGGATACCAGTCCGTTAGATGGTTGTCCACCTGGACTCTCCACTTCCGATCAACAAGGAAATATTTGATCCACTTGTGTAGCGAACCACCAACACCGTACATCCTCAGCCTGTCTGACTGCGAGACCGCTTGACAGAAAGCATTGCGAAATTCCAAGCGATGTTGGCTTCAACTATTCAGTTTTCGAGAACAAAAATCTATCTTTGGAGTGCGACAACTTGACTGAATACATTAAATTATGCTTCGATTGTTACCGCCTGTTGAGACATTCTACCTACGGATGGATAGATTTTCGTCGCCGCTACTGAAGCAACTTAGGAGAAAGAAAGAACAAGCCTACAAATGTGAAACGAATGCGCAAGTTAAAAGATTATCTTTGGAAGTCAAATACGAGATAAAAGGTGAAGCTTTTTTACATTGAGAATGTGCTGGACAACCAAGATTGTCGCGATAATTTGAGACATTTGAAGCACCTATGTGGCCAAAGTTCCCATAAGCACAATGATAACATGAATGTGAACAAAATGAGTCACTTGTGACTGCTTTAATTTATGCAGATAACTCAAAGAATTGAACGTAAGCAAGGCTACTAGCATCGATGCATTATCATCACTTGTCCTAAAGCAATTGCGAAATCACTAACCATGATTGGAGGGTCAATTTGGACTACACACTATGGGATTGGATTGCGACGCGCAATCTCAATGTAATGGACCGTGATTCCCATTGAAGTGAACCTTGGTCACTGCGATCAGTGTTTTCGGGCGGGCAACACTCAAATTCTACTAACCGTGATTTTCAACCGAGGTCTTATGAATGGCATCATTCCTAATATTTGGAGAACCGTAAGGATAACGCCTGTGCCAAATTAGGACGCACACAAGTATCGTCCAATCACACGCAAATCAGTGAGATTGAAGGTATTAGATAACCTACTTGCTCCACATTGCAAGTGGTTCGGTGTCGCTCCTCCCAAACCTGACACCCCATAAAGGAATTCGTGCTCATGTGAACTCACCAGATGGAGATAGCCTGAGCTGAGGTGGACCTCGAGGCCTAGTGGTTGACTGCTGACACCTTGCTCATAATGGCTCTAAGATCAGAGGTCTACTTCAAAGTGAACAGAGGACTTGCTCCTCAGATTTTCCTACGCACCAAACGATGCAAACGATGTATACCAGTGCGCTTACAAAATGGCCGCTTCACACTGCATGCTGTGTCATATACTGTGCATTCGTTAGCATGTGCACTGGATAATAAATGAGGGGCAGTGCGCCTTTTGTTTTTCGACTGTACAGATGTTTCTGAAGGCGTTGACAGATCAGTCATTGTCAGCTAGATGGTTGCGAATGGGATTCGGCAAAATCGTTGTAGCATGATTAAAGACTACTTCACAAACCTCATTCAATTCACCCGGTTTAATGGAACGAAGTCTTCCACCTTCCACTCTATCTTGGTATTTTATTTGAACCCATCCTCTCAGCCGCCTCATTTTCTTTATATACTAAAATGATCTCCATACCATCTACCTGTATTGGATGCAAGTGTGCTGACGATGTCGTTTTGGGATGCGTTACTCCAACCATTGGCACATATTCTACTATTCTAAATGGTCTAGATGGGCTTGTGCTTTGAGCATCGTCCCAATCCATGATTTTGCACACTTCTAGATATTGTCACGTAACATTCTCGTTTCGCTGAGCTAAAGAATTAAGAGTTGTTCGGGACACTGCCTGTCCATTCGTAGTGATTGATCATACCTAGGTCTCCTTATCCCCAGACTTGGTCCATTCACGTTGCCGAAGCACTTTGTAAGGTTAGGCGGTTTTCATATTACACTCTTCGACTTAAAGTACTTTCAGTACGCAGTGATTTGATACTTAGATTGGTGACTTCAAGCATTCTGCCGCACTGGCTGTACTGATCCCAAGCAATCTTCCCTGGGTTAGCCAAATTGACTACACATTGACTGTACGGTCTATATAGCTTATTCCCATATGCAGCAGATTGTCTAGGGAGTCCATTGTGGATCTGATTGTTAACAAGCATCTATACGCTTGTACCAGTTTTGCTTCGACCTTCTAAACGATCCACTTCATCCGTTATATTTTGACCTGTGTACAATACTATATATTTCTCTGCCCGCATAAACATTTTAACTTCTGTTTTCTCGTACTGCATCTTTTCGCAATTCTGGTCTACGGTACCTATCCTGCTTGCTTGTTGACGCAGCCAAAACTATCAGTATGGTGCAAAATTATTCGCTCTTGTGATGAATGTAAAAGTTTTATACCTTTTCTATTTTCGTTAAGAGTAATTTCAAATACTTTACCATTCGCAGTGACAGTGTAACATGCTGAAAATGTACCTATCTTGGTGCATATAATCTACTTTGATTTTTGTCGACTTGAACTTGTTGGAGACATCATCTTGAAGTTTTTGAACCACTTTCCATTGATTCTACCTGAATGGAGTCCAGTGATCTGGTTAAATGCGCATCGGAAAACAGGTCTGTTCATCCTGCAAGAGCACTAGCACTGCTTCGGAGTGGAACCCAAAAACCTGGCGGAAATATACGCGGCGTCGCATGTGTGCAAAGCGAACGTTAGTCTTAGGGTATTAGTCTTAGGTTAGTCTTAGGGTATTATTACCCCCACTTCAAGGGTGGTAGCCATTCAGGGCCCGCTTCCAGGTGTAGTCGATCCGAGCTGGTACACTAATTGACCATTTAGTTGGATTTATCGTCGTAGCACCGGATCAATGCGGATTCCGTCAGCATCGGTCATATACTACAAATCTACGTGATAGTGTAGAGGGGCCGCTTCCAAGAATGGCTCTGGGGAGCTCTTCGGAGCTAGCTGAGAGCGGATCGCGAAAGACGGCGAGCGACGAGCCTGGGCCCGGAACTACGGAGCGGGAATATGTGAACAGCGCAATAAATCAGACATATACGCCGCTAGCGCAGCCCACAGGACCGAGGCCGAGCCGATTGACACAGCCCAGAACAAGCAAGTCGAGAGCTCTCGAACGACTCCTGGCCGATCCAAATCGGGTGCAGAGAAGCGGAGATCGAGCACACAGACTGTGAGTGTATTTGTGCCTTCAAAACCATTCCGAGATTAGGAAAGGAGTTTAGCTGAAATGATTTCTCATGTATACCCCACCCCCCCCCCCCCCCCCCCATCCCCCCTGCCCCCCCCCCCCTTTTTTATATATATTATCCACCCCCCCCCCCACCCCCCCACCCCCCCCACCCCCCCCCCCCCCCTTTGTTTCCCCCCCCCCCCCCCCCCCCCCCCCCACCCCCCCCCCCCTGGGTAGACAGTGCCAAAAGCTGGTGCGCTCAACAGAGTCGAAAGCAGCTTTCAAGCCAAAGAAAACCACTACAATCCGCTGTCTGTAAGAGTTGCTTTACTCTAACAATTAGCAAAGAGTAAATACCAGGTCGGTGCAACTACGAATAGGGCTGAAGCGAGCCTGGCTTTCAGTGACTTGGTTCTCACGGGGACCAGTAAGTCGTCGGAGAATGATGTCCGCGAGAAGTGTGGAGACAACAGAAATAAGGCTAACGCCCCGATGATTTTCGCACAAAGTACACGGACCTTAAATGAAAATGAGCATGACAGTCGACAGTCTGAAGGTACCAATACAGTGTCCCAAATCGTGTTAGTTAAAGAAGCAAATACAGTCAACAGTGACCTCCATCTTGTAACAAAGATGGAGGAAGATCGTCGAAGCCAGGAGGCTTGTTGCGCTTCAATACGGAAAGCTCATGTCGAGTTCATTCCAAAGTGAGAGATGTTACAGAACTTCCACGTCGTTTGAGATGATTCGGCAAACCACAATATCACATCAAGCCAGTTGAATCACTATTCAAAATGTTCCACCCAAAGAGGCTGAGAACGGATCAACTGTCCACCTTTCTCAGCCATTGTTTCAATAACTGAGGGCATTCTCGGACCAGTGTTCCGGATAAGCTGGAATAGCACTCCGCCGTTCATAGTAGCACTGGCTTTCTCCATCTCACGGGTAATTGCCACCCACCAAGGCTCCCGGTCGATTCGAAGACTCCTCGTCAGACGTCGGTTAAGGGGGTGATGCACTGATGTGTTCCTGGACTCAAGTATGATGGGCCTCCCTCCCACGTTAAAAAGCCAAGGGAACTCACTTGAAAATCAAGGACCCATTAGACCCTTGACAATTCCCTCCAACATTCTCATATACTTGCCCACTGTGATTCAATAGCCGTTGGTAAAGTGGAATCAGTACGAGTCAGGCAACAATTCACCCTAAGCTGGTTATATTCGTAACCAGCTAGCCCTTGCAGCTGTTTAAACAGTGGTATGCCCAGACAGTTTACCAGATGCGCATTTCTGATTTGAAGGTCAGCTATGAATGGTTTAGCTGCACATGTTTGTTGCGTTGCTTAACCATCGAGAGAGTGTAGACGAGAAATGTCATGCTGTACAGCAGCAGCGGAGGAGCAGAATGTGGAACCCACAGGAAACGCTCCCTGAGTTCACCACGGCAAGCGCTGTAAACGTCGAGGTTGCAGTACAGGTCCTCTTTTCTCTAAATTTATGAAGTAAAAGGTGTACTATGACTGTTCCTCTTGCTTCTTCTACGGTATTTGTTTTTGCTCGACGGCCAACGCACGAATTTAGAGCACACAGACAAATGAAAATACACTGAATTCGTAGGACAATATAGCATAGAAAGTGTAGAAACCATCGACGATTGAAAGAGTGAATAAAAGCTTGTCTATTCTGGGTGAATATCCGACATCTTAAGTGAAGCGTCCGCAAGAGACGATAGGTGGTGGATCATATGGGGACAGATGAAGATGGGAGAGTATAAATGTACGAAGTAATCGTGAGAAGCTAAGAAAGTTGTGTAATATTTCCCAATACAAAAAGTTAACAAATGGGAATCATTTCGTTCCTAAGCATTTGTATCTCAGATGACTCTTCGATATAGTAGTAAGCATGTCGGTCATCCATGTAGTGTCGTTTAAAATCTCCGTGCTCTGTAGTGGCATCAAGGTAGCGATCGTTCCCGTAAGCCCTAATAACGTACACCACATTTAATCATCCTGTGGTAATGTGGGTTCGCGGCTCAAACGAAGAGTACAAAGCCACAACTGCGAAGGTAACCATTGCTGCGAGATGAAGCATTTGTGACACCCGAACAAATCACAGAGTAGTGCGAGAAAGTTCGGGATCACTGACTAGTGGCAAAAACGAATTAGGAAGTCAACAGGGAGTTGTGATTCCTACGATATGTTAACCGATAGGAGTAAATGTTGAGTAGGCACAGAGTCGGGAGCATTGTGTTGATAAAAAAGGGATGAGTGAGAGTTTGACTTACATTCTGGCCATACAAGCAACTACCCCCAACAAAAAAGTTGGTAGGTACAAGCGCATCTCAACTAGTATGAAAACTATGACCCAATCCGTAAACGCATTTGAGAATGTAAGTGAAAAAGGCTGATGCAGTAGCTTCTGATGAGAACAATCCCCCTCCACTAAATTATTCACTACCGGAAACGTTGACAAGAACGCATCACTGGGGATAGATACACTTCGGTACCTAAGCAACATGCGAGTCGGAACAAGGAACACGGTAGGGATTGATACTCAGTGATGTGATTGAGTACTGATGGGCGTCAACGTGATAATCAGCGCGGATGATAGGTTTGCGATCGGCAAAGTTGTCTTCTGAACACCGCAGTTGAGTTAAGCTGTCAAAGACGTTTGAACTAGAAGGCAAGAGCCAGTTTAAGTGAGATATAAGGCAGAACAAAAGTGACATTAGAATCCGATTGACATTTGAGAAAGGTGAAAAAAACCGACCGGGGTTTTCGATTCTATAGATTGTACTAGATACTACAAGTTGCAGCGCCGCGACATCATGATTCATCAATAGTACGAATCGAGGTGACGCGACAAAATCACAGACTATCCACATAAACCAAATAGGTTTTGTCATACGAAAACGGCTCTGATTGCAAGGCTTAATTGCCGTTTCAGTGGCTCCGTTTCACATGGTGTGGAGAGATGTACAAGCGGCGACGTTTATAATCAGCAAAAGTGCACAACAGGTCACAAGCAACAGACGGCTGAAGTCAGTCGATAACTGTGAAGGGATAGAATAAATTTACCGAAAAATTTCACAAATACACTGGCAAGCCGGGAAAATGGAGGGTAGATAATTTTCATACTGTTAGCGTAAGATTCACTCAGATGATGCATATAAAGCAGAAAACGTTAAATAAATGATGTGAATCAAATGGATTCTGAATGACCAAGAATCTAGGTGTTAAAACGCAAAGATAACACTGCTTACACAAACATCTCGGTCTGAAAGAGCAAAATTTTTCAGATGCTCTTTAACTTGGTCCCACGAACGTACCAACTTGAAATGTCGATTGGTCGGTTCGTGAGGTTTCTGAATTGACGGAAGAATGAAAAATCACTTCAAATAGGGTAGTCTGCGCAGAACTGTGAGACCTATAAGTTCAATAAATATGATATAACAATGACTTTTGAATATACACCGCAGTTGTGATGTGAAAAGAATAAAACTCGGTGGACGGCGGAGACAAAAAGTAGCGCAAGAAAAACCGCAATGACGATGAATTGATGGAAGTCGACCGAATAGCTTTTGGAGAAGAGGGGTATTAAAAAGGAGCGTCAATCCCACCCGGAGAAATTCAAGTTTGACCAATGCGTTATACATAATCTGGCACTGAATGCCAATGGGAAATGCGCGGCGAGTTCCACACAACCGAAGTGGCGTTTAAATGAACAAGAGTGACACTGGATACCTGAATCAAAGCCTGCTTTGAGATACCTTGGTCCAAGTGAGTAGCACAAAGCGCAAAAGGAACATCCCAAGGCGCCGTGGGGAAATAGACGACCTCTAAGCAAGCAAATACAGTGAAAGAAGTGTGAAAGCGTCCCCCTATGCTAATACGCTCTTTCTTTCATCGTAATCAGAAGGTGAAAACCAACTCAGTGTGCGGAGTGTAGTGAACAACATCTGACATCCTAAGTCCCGAAAAAATAGGGGGAAACAAAACCATTCTCCAGAAACGTTGCTCCCGTTCGAACCAGAGTGTCCGGCAGGTTGAACCATTAAATACATGATTGTGTACCAAATTTGCACTGTTTGAGATCCGACAGTGTATAAGGCAAACGATCGATAAATCAGCAGTTAGTGAGGCGAAGCAGTAGTCTTCGTGAAGCGAAACGGCAAATGTAGGGAAATTGAGGAATTTAAAACCGCAATGGAGATTGTCGACAGAGGTTTCGAAAACTAAAGCAGTCTTAGGGAAGCCATTTTCCAATCACATCGTAGGGCCATAATAACTTGCAGCTAGCGCTAAAATTTATGCCACCCAGTACCGCTCGGATAGCATTAAAAGCATGACCAACAAACAGTCGTATCGATATCGGTTGTGCCCATGGCTTACTCAGTGGATGGCCGGATACCATCAGTTCCAAAAAATTACAAATACCTGATTCGTTGTCGAGGCGAGAAGAGTAGGACAGTAACCAGCGCCCCAGGTGAGCAAACCGAAAACAGTGGATTTCCACTATGACCGTTGTTATCAGCAAGTTCTAATAGATCGCCCCGAAGTTCACATAGATGGTGAGCGGTTGTACTCCACCGAGTCTGAAAAGTAACTAGGTGTGACACACAGCCGTGATCATGGTCGCTCCATGTGAATGAAGTTTCTACAAAGGTGAGGAGGCTTTCCTTATACGCTGCTCGTTTGCAATCATCCTCTGTGCTTCGTTAGCTAATACTTCGATTTATCACCGCTTGTGTCTTATATCACTGGACTTAGTGCTTCCCTGTGACAATTGCCGGTTTCTTAAAGAAGCATTGCAAAATCGTAGATAGGTCACTGACACAACCGTCTCGATGTAGTGGTATTCTAAAGCCGACCTTTGTTGACATTATTGTGTCTACTCATTCCAGTTCATGCAAAAGGCTTGCTTCAAAAATATTCGCTGACTGTATATCAAGTTCCGCAACTAGACAAAAATACAAATCTATTTATTCCTGTACAAGGGCTTGCCACTCATCCATAATCCCATAGTTGACGCGCTTTTTGTGCAACCAGACCTGTTGTTATGGAGCCTACAAGAAAAATTACTTTGTAACAATATTGCCATCTTTGCTGCTGATTACCTTTTTGTATTCAGTTTACAATGCTGAGGGTGTGTGCGTAACAGCTGAATGTCCACTCCGACCGCATAAAACTATTTCTTAAAGTGAAATTAAAAGTGGTAAAGTTGAATAAACTTGAGTGTATGCGCTCACCTTCATGGCCTCAATGCGGAAGCCTAGAGTAGCGGTGGAACTAAGAGTTTCTCGCCACTGCATATAGCGCAACTTTGTCACGCTGCCTTCGAGAGCTTCTGAAGTAGTAATTGCGCCGGGATCCACAGCAGCCATTTTCAGATAAAGATCCTGGATATGAAGAATGTTGATAAGCCTCAATGAGAACGATCGAAAGTGGAGTGTCAAAGCGCTTAAAGTCGAAAGATCGTGATAGTCAGGATAAGTACCTATGACAAAAAAGCGTAATTAATAACGTTTGAAAGACATCGTTGCACTAAATGAGAAGTAGGTCAAAAAGAAGTGTATAAAACAGTGATGATTTTGGCCTCCATTTGCTTCTATTGCAGTGAGAGCTCGCAGTTTTCATAAACGAAAAAAGATGGGATATAACAGATTGTGGATAAAGTGTGGGGGCAGTGAAATACCGTAAGCAGAACAGTCTTGCCATCAGAAAGCAGTTATCAGCGGGTGATGCAGTTAGAGCAGTTGCTTACAGGCCTGGGTGCGTTCAAAGGAGCATTTTCACCTTCTAGTTCCTTTTCCACATACGTCCGGTGGCCCATCTTGCAATCCATGAGAAAAGAGTGTGGAAAATTGAAAAGCAGGTCCTCCATTTGAATATATCCTGGTAGGAGTGAACTCAGATAAAGAAAGCAGACGGGAAGGCACATGGTGGGAGCAGAACACAACAAGATGTAAGCGCGAAGGGTTAGTTAAGAGAATACACCGCACTGATGGTACGCAAAGAGACTGTTGATTTGAGGCGTGAGGAACGAGCTACAGACTCTTCAAGTGACCAACTGGAAAACGGCCTAGTAAAAACTAAAGAAACGTTCCTTGCACGTACAACCATCGAGTTCTGGACGGTCACAGACAGTCACGCAGTGACCGATGGCTGCAGGCATGTCTTCTGACAAGACTAGAGGCAACCGCGACTAGATTGCACCAAAACCTAGTGCGATGGCTTGTATAGCTTCGTAACATATCTCATATATATATATATATATGTATATATATATATATATATATATAATACACAATCTGTGGTACAAATATTGTGCCATCGGATTCATGGCTGAGTAAGAAAACAGTCTGAGTACTAAGAAAAGAGTAACAACAACAACAAAGGTTTTTCTTTTGTCTAGTTTACCAATCACAGTAGTGCTGCCACCACACACGGGCAATGGACCGCAGACAGCGGTGCTCGAAGACGGATAGCCTGCCCAAGTCATCTTTACGAATGGGCCAGGTCTCGCATCCGTACAACAGTACAGCACGAACAGTTGCACAATAGACCCGCCCCTTGATGGAGAGACGAATGTCGTGGCGACGCCACAAGTGCCTCAGCCTGGAAAAAGCGAGGCATGCTCTCGAAATGCGCATCGAAATCTCTTCTCCAACAGCCCCGCCAGCAGTGCTGCAACTTCTCAAGTAGACAAAGCTCTCCACAACCTCTAGTGTCTCACCACCAAGAGTGAATGTACGCAGAGGCACCTGCCAGTCTTGGAAGAGAGTGTGGTAACCATGTGAGCAACATCGATTGGCTCAATCTCATTGGTTGGCTTGCTGACTCATTCCTACCTTACTATTGGTCGTGTGTCTGCCGCTTGACTCTCCGTTTAACAAGGGATTGACTCACTTGTACTTGGTTAATTTGCGAGATACATTTTTTACCTGTCCTGCGGCTTTCTTGATACAACATTGTGGCGTCGCGGAGGCAAAAATGAACCTTTCCATCCAACCCCATCTCCATTTTGGACTGATTGCGGCAGCAGACCGACATCGGATGCCTGGTTCCGTTGGAAAACATCCTTCCTAAACTACTTGGATTTAATCAGCGATCTCCCTACTGCTCTTAGTGAGGATAAAAGATTGAAGCTGCTTCGACATTTACTCGGAGATGAGGGACAGCGGCAATTCGATGATTTGGGTCTCCAGGGATGCAAATCGGTTATAGACGCCTTCAATGCTCTCGATCGTGCATGGAGTTACCAAATGAACGTGTTTACCGCGCGATATATTTTCTCCCGAATACACCAAGAAGCAGGCGAACCCTTGAATGATTTCATTGCTCGGCTGAGTCGTGCAGTACGACCGTGTGCCTACTCGTCTATTCCACAGAAAAAGATTGAAGGCTGTATGCTCACTCAGCAACTGATCACTGGAATCGCTGACAATCGCATACGTGAGGCGCTATTGCAGGAAGACGCTTGCACACTAACGTGGGATCGAGCTTGCGAATTAGCCCGAGTAAAGACGGAAATTTCGTTGCAATCGAAGCAGTTTTGTTCCACCAGCTTAGCTGAAGTGGCGAGAGTACAATCTTTCCGGCAACGTCCGACAGACAAACTGTCTTGCTATCGTTGTGGAAGCACGTCTCACAAAGCTAATTTTGCCGGTTGTCCCGCACGCAGCCTCAAATGTAAAAACTGTGGTAAAATTGGACACTATGCCCGCTGTTGTCGATCGCAGGCTGTCGCGCTCATTAAAGAGGATGATACACCGGAATGCCATGTTACCGATCCAACTCAAGACAATATCTATTCAATCACCGCTGACTCCATACCTTCAGGTTGTGTAACCATATCCGTTGTTGAACCGAAGTTTCCCGCTGCTGACATTCGTACTGTATTGTTCCTTACTGTTAAAGGTGCTGTTCCATTGGAAATGGAACTTGATTCTGCTTCTCCAGTCACTATCGTGTCTTTCCAATTTTATGAACGCTACCTATCACAGCATACTTTACATCCCACCTCACATTCATTCTGGAGTTATAGTGGGAACACACTAACCATATTGGGATTTATTATCGTGCCTTTGCAGTTGCATTCTGTGATTGCCGATGTCGCAGTGTATATTTCTTCGGACAACAGACGACCCTTGCTTGGGAGGAATGCTATGGTGGCTTTGCACATTGTACCATCATTCGACCGCATGCTTATCTCTTCCGTCAACGTAGCACACTGGCAGGAACATTATCCGAAGCTCTTCCAGAAGTCCATCGGCCGTATTCCATGTGGTGTGCATCGAATTCAGCTGAAACCGAATGCGAAACCGGTCGCCATTGGTCAACCTCGACCCATTCCGCTAGCGAAACGTGAAGCGGTCTCAGCAGCCCTGCAAGCGATGCTTGCAAATGATTTGATTGAACCCATCGACTGCTCTGAGTGGGTGCATCCAATGGTTTGTGTCATGAAAAAAGACGGTACTGTCCGGATATGCAACGATTTGCAGGCACTGAACAAACAGATCGTCGTAGAGCGCTTTGTTTTGCCATCTAATGATGAACTCACTGTACGTTTAGCTGGTGCAACTGTTTTTTCCAAGCTAGATTTGAAAAGTGCATTTTCCATATGCCATTGGCCGATGATTCCAAACACCTAACTGCCTTCCTTGCTCCTGATGGCCTATTTCAGTACAAGTCTTACCCATGGGTTTGAGTTCCGCGCCCGCCGCCTGGCAAAAGTTCATGACTCACACCCTGGCAGGTATCGATGGGCAGGTTGCCTACATGGATGATATTTGTGTTTTCGGCCGCTCACAGGAAGAACATGATGAAAGGCTACACAAAGTCCTCCAGCGCCTCAGTGATCTCAATTTGCGTCTGAACGCAGAAAAATGTCTCTTCAATGCACCAGAAATTCAGTTTTTGGGACACGTCATTTCACGCAGTGGCATTCGACCAAGAGATGAAAAAATCAGGGCCATCTCTGAAGCGCCAATACCCAAAAACTTGACAGAACTAAAGTCCTTTTTAGGAATGTGCTCTTATAACCTGTGCTATCTGCCGGATTTTGCGACTGTGGCAGATCCATAACGACAGCTAACAAAGAATGGATCGTCGTTCGTTTGGGGAAGCAATCAGCAAAATGCCTTTGACGAATTGAAAAGAAGAGTTGCGTCTGCTCCCTTAGTTGTCATTTTTGACAAACCTTGCCGCACCTTCATATCCACTGATGCGTCTGATGTCGGTCTCGGAGCTGTCCTCTCACAAATACAAAACGGAGAGGAGAAAGTTATTGCCTACGCATCACGAAAGCTGTCAGATTCCGAACGTCATTATTCAGTTGGGGAAAAAGAAGCCCTTGCATGTGTGTGGGCCTGTGAAAAGTGGCATTTATTTCTGTTCGGTCGTCGTTTTACTCTGCGTACTGATCATTCAGCCATAACAGCTCTTCTCAGCAATGGATCTAAAGGATCTCGCCCAATGCGAATCGATCGCTGGTATGCCAGGCTCCTTAACTACGATTTTGAAATTGTGTACCGGCCAGGTTTGCAAAATCAGATTGCTGACGGCCTATCTCGCTTACCCGTGGGGTTGGAAGATGAAAAAGAGAGACTCAGAGAGGCGGTACTAGTTTCCAGTCTTGGAGCTAACCTGTCTGCCTTGACGATAGAGGAACTACGAAGGGAAAATGTTAACAATCGTTTACTGTGTGAGATCGTTGAATATGTGCAACGGGGCTGGCCCAAGTATAACAAAAGCCCCGGTGAGTTCATTCCGTATTATGCAATTCGACATGAACTATCAGTGGTAAATGGTTGCCTGATGCGCGGTTCGGTGTTCGTAGCTCCGCCCCAGTTGATAGCCAAGATAATAGCTTGCGCACATGAGGGACATCCAGGTATAGTTCGGACCAAAAATCGAGTGAGACTCTATTTCTGGTGGCCACGGATGGCATCTAGCATTGAGACATTTGTGGTCAATTGCAATGCTTGCCGATTAGTGGACAAAAGTTCTTTGCCAGTTAAAGCCCCGACACAGCCAATTGCTTACCCGATGAAACCATGGACCAAAATCGCCATTGATATAATGGGCGCTTTCACTACGAATAAGCGAAATCTACTTGTTGCTACATGTTTTTACAGTAGATGGCCTGAAGTACACATGTGCGACCAAGTAACTAATCAGCCCGACCGATCTGTGCATGAAGACCCGGCTGAGATGCCATTACCACGACGTCAGCTGCGTCGGTCCGCGAGGACGGTGAAACCTATTGATCGCTGCGAACCAGGCTGAGGCGGCTTTTCGGACGTGGGAACGATAATGTGGTAACCATGTGAGCAACGTCGATTGGCTCAATCTCATTGGCTGGCTTGCTGACTCATTCCTGCCTTACTATTGGTCGTGTGTCTGCCGCTTGACTCTCCGTTTAACAAGGGATTGACTCACTTGTACTTCGTTAATTTGCGAGATACATTTTTTACCTGTTCTGCGGCTTTCTTGATACAACAGAGTCTTGAATTTGGATGGCGAAAAGTATATACCATACTTCGAGGCTTCAATCGCCAAGCGGTTTATGCAAGTTGGACGACGTGTGGATCGTCACCCAGCAAAACGATATCATCAGCATAATCCAAATCAACAACTCGACTACCTGGGAGGAGTTCAACGCCAGTGTTCAACGAATCGTTCAATGGAAAAGTTGAATAGGAACAGAGAGATAGGGCATCCTTGTCGAACTCCACTGGAGACCACAAAGGTAGGAGAAAGCTTGCCATAAGCCCACACTATATAGAGCGCGCAGTATGGAGACGAACTTCTCGGGGACACCATTCCTCAGTAGGCAGTGCCACAGTACCGTACGATTGACAGAATCAAAGGCTGCCCAGATATCCAGGAAC